TATGTGTATGTATATATATATGTATATATAAACAGTTTTGTTTTTCGTTATAGATAAAAGAGTGCTCAATATATACACATATATATATATATATATATATATATATATATATATATATATATATATATTATATATATATATATATATATATATATATATATTATATATATATATATATTATATATATATATATTATATATATTATTTATATATATATTATTTACATAGGAGTTCCATCATAAATTGTACTCGGATTCAAATGACACAATGTCAATGACTTTATAAAAGTAAAAGCATATTGTGTATTGGCCTATTGGGTTTACACTTTTACAGGTTCATTTAACTTTAACTCTCTCAAGTCTCAACAGACAATCGGACATACCAAATCCATTGATATGACACTCTTCAAAACAACTTTTTTTCGAAGCTAGAAATAATGATTTTTTTCAAATTTTTCCAGGGATACTTTGTTTTCTGCTCTCTAGACTCCCCCTTGCGGCTCTAGTGCTCCACCCCTAGAATATATACCCTACTGGGGTTTGGTGACACTTTGTGTTGCTTCAGTCACCTGCTCACGGCTCACCCCCTAAGATTTCTGGCACCACCCCAGTAAAAAATATGAAAATCCGTCTATGTTTCCGACCCACCATTTTTTACCCGCCACATGCAAATTTTTACACACGACCGTTACAGACTCTTTGACTGTGTCTACTCGCTGTTTTCTGTAGTGTTTACACGAATTTTAAATTTTACTCCAAACCGCATCGTATAAATAAGATAACTAGGCTGCTTTGTATGCAAGTCGCAAGGTTCTTTTATACATACACCCTTTCATGAATCATGAACTTTCAGTATAATCAAAACATGCCGCTCGTGTCGGTTAATTGTGCCTTAACAGGAAGTGGTTTATGATTTAACATGATACAGTCTCAAAAAACACCATGCGTATAGGCTATAACGAGTCATGCATCTCCGATGTCAATCACTGAAACTGAAAGGTGGCTTGATTTTTAAAGGGCCAGTGTGATTACTTTATTTCATTACTTACATTGAATTGCTGTCAGTACGATGGACATTTAAAGATGTATCCATTGAATCTTCGATATGCCACTGGAAATTTCACAAAGGCTTCGATGGTAAAGTAAAAGTTTGCAATGGCTTGTAGCGGTCTTTCTCCATCTTCTTATGCAAACAACTGATACCCTCTCCTGCTTCTCGTACCGAGAGACTTTTACGGGGCGACATCGACGAGCCAGACATATTTGATACTTCACACAAACATACAAAAATTAAATAATACCTCAGTCTAATACTCCATATGCATGAATCACAAATCCAAAACTTGAAAACAAAAAAACACACCTTAAAACACCCTTACCTTTTGTAATAAGAAAACACAGAAGGATTTTTCAGCTACGCATTTGAGTGCAGATCAACAAGCTCCCAGCTTATATGACCGAAAAAATGTACAAGGTGCGGTTTTTATGTGTGCGCCTTACGTCAGCCGTAATGAATGAACAAAGAACAATAACGTTTTTCATGCAGTGCATGGCAGGAACCCTCAAAACAATGAACCTTTCAAGACTGACACTAAACCAAAACGATTAATTAGCAAAAGCCATTTTCAGAAAAAAATTCAAAAACATTTTTACATTTTTACGCTCACACATACAATAGAACAGCAGTACTCTATGACTATGCAAAATCATTAAATTGTACGGTTCATGTTACGACTGAACGGCAGTACTCTATGTAAAATCACTAAATTGTACGATTCATGTTACGATAGAACGCTAGAACAGCAGTACTCTATGCAAAATCACAAATTATATGATTCATGTTACGATAGAATGCTACAACGGCAGTACTCTGTATGTAAAATCACTAAATTATAATATATTCATGTTACGCTAGAACGGCAGTACTCTATGCAAAATCACTAAATTATATGATTCATGTTACGATAGAACGCTAGAACGGCAGTACTCCATGCAAAATCATTAAATTATATGATTCATGTTACGCTAGAATGGCAGTACTCTATATGTAAAATCACTAAATTATATGATTCATGTTACGACAGAACGCTAGAACGACAGAACGCTAGAACGGCAGTACTCTATGCAAAATCACCAAATTATATGATTCATATGTTACGATAGAATGCTAGAACGGCAGTACTCTATATATAAAATCACTAAATTATATGATTCATGTTACGATAGAACGGCAGTACTCTATGCAAAATCACTAAATTATATGATTCATGTTACGATAGAATGCTAGAACGGCAGTACTCTATGCAAAATCACTAAATTATATGGTTTTATTTTCGTGTTTGGTGTAACCGAATCATAGCCATCAGAGGCAAGCTTGACACTATAATAGTTTTTAATTTTGACAAGTGTGCTCCAGCGGTTCCATTACATCGCCCAGCCAGACTTATTGGCGCTGAAATATGCTTTTCCGTATAAATCGCAACAGATGTGACACATAATTTTCATATTTGACTTCATTGTTACGATAGCATGCGTGCTTTAATTTTTTTTTCAACAACACTGCTTATTTTGGGCATTGTATAAGATCACTTCTTAATGGTCTATAAATTACGCCAACCATACCTTACTAGATTTACTGGACTTTACTTCTATAAAAATTGATTGACAAACATTGTCGTCATTATTTTCAAGATTTGTTAATTGATCAAAATGAAGATTATTGTTAATATATAGAGCTACCCCTCCACCTTGGCGATCAATGCGGTTGCATGTTAACACATTATAGTTTTCTAAATTATAATAAGATATATCAGTGCTATTTGTAAGCCAGGTTTCAGTAACTCCGATTATTGTAAAGGGGAAATTTAAGCCTGTGAGGAAGTCAGTAATTTTTTCAAAGTTTTGTGATAGACTACGTGCAGTAAAGTGAAAAAGAATTTGATTTTTTTGAAAATTTAGTTGTAAATTCCTCATTAGAATAATATTCCGAATCATTGTGTACTACACATTATGTAGAGAATAAAACTGATTATCTGCATCTAGATCAGGTAAATTAACAAGGGGAGAAGAAAAAGCATAAGGATTAAAAACAAGATCTTTCAGAGAGTCATAGCAAGATTTTAGATTACCTTGAATTGCCAGCAAAAATTCAACATCATCATCAATACGGTTGAAGGGGAAGATGTTTTGCACACAAGGTGAGCAAAACCATTCATTTGCATTTTCATCCATGTTTGTAAATTCCAGATTAGTGACATCAGTACATTTCAAATGTACCCAATTCTTACAGAGATTACAAAATATAGATTTTTGATTTGGTAAAATAGAATTAGAACACACACTGCAATGATGCTTAAGCACCATGCTCACACCAATTTACTTGACAAAAAAAATTAAAGAAAGAAAGAACCACCTAACGTATATATAAATATTGATAATTTTATGGATTAATTTTAAGAAATAAACTAGTATTAATATGTCAATACTTTAGGTAATGCAGAGTCAACAAAAGTCATAAATAAAATATAATATACAAAAGTCACAAAAAATAATCAGCCATGCATCACTGCTTCGGAAGCTTCGACAAGTTTCCTGAGCGTTCAATTATTATTTTTTTGAATCGTTTCCATGGAGAAGACAGTAAATTCTTCCATCAATTGTCCAAGATGCTGCTACAGCTTGGTTGTTTCTATCAAATTCTGCAGTTACAACAGGCGGGCTGAAATTTTCAGAATAAAACGTCACTTAAAGAATACTGGTATAACAATCTCAGAAAGCTTGATCGCACATAGACAACATCTCATGAATACATGAGATGTTGTCTATGTGCGATCAAGCTTTCTGAGATTGTTATACCAGTATTCTTTAAGTGACGTTTTATTCTGAAAATTTCAGCCCGCCTGTTGTAACTGCAGAATTTGATAATTATTGGCCTTGGGCGATTGAAATTCTGCCTTCTCGATCTTAATCTATGTGATCTGTCAAGGTCTTGTTTGGTAATGTCCACATTTAACTTTGATTTAAAAATATCAATCACAGTATCGTCTGTATTTTCCTGAGGTGCTTCGGTAACTCCATGAACAAGAAGGCAGTTTCGGTGGCCATATTGGTTAATATTGTCAACCTCATCCATAAACTTTAATTTGTTTGACTCCATTTCAGTCTCAAGTTGTTGAACTTTCCCAGTTAACTCTTGTTGTTTTTGCTTTAGGTCTAGCTGCTCATGGGATAGACCATTGAACACCTCTTGTTTGCAAGATATTTCGAGCTTCTCGGCCACTGCAAATATTATGCCTTCGTCATGCACGCATTTGTCGGCAAACAAGTGGCAACCAAGAAATTGTTAGATTTGATGACAAGATTAACTATAGTACTCGATAAAGCTTGTGTGACTTTGGAAATCAAATCTTTGTCAGTTGATAGTAGGTTAAAGAGCTCGGCTTTCACATCTTCCTCGGCTTCGGTCGCCATCTTGGTCTTTGCCGTTGTTGTTCTAGCTTGTGTGTCTGTTGGCATTGTAACTTTATCTTCGATTTTATTAGATTTGCTTTGCCGCTTGGTATATTTTTATAAACGTACACATATGTTGTAATAGAGCTGGTGGTTTCAATCCTTCAGATTAAATTACATAGTCAGAAAAACTGTTTATTTCACTGCTTTGCTTTCACTGCACTGCACTGCGAGTACATTGTAAAGTTGTAAAGAAAGAATGTGTTGGTCACATCCAGAAACGAGTTGGAATGGCATTGAGAAAATTGAAGAAGGAAAACAAAGGTCTTGGAGGAAAAGGGAAGCTGACAGATTCCTTTATTGAGAAGCTTCAGAATTACTACGTCATTGCCATCCGAAGTAATTCTGGAGACTTGGAGGCTATGAGAGAAGGAGTATGTGCAAGTCTGTTTCACACCGCTTCTTCAGAAAGAAGAAATCTCATTCTCTTTGCCCCAATGGTCCTGACAGTTGGTGTCGTTTCAAGCAGGATAAAGCAAACAAGACTTCAAATTATAAGCCTGGACCTGGTCTTCCTGATGACATTTAAAATTGATAAAGCCTATTTATGAAAGGCTCAGTAATGATGAGCTCTTGAAGAAGTGATTGGCATGATCTGGAAACGTTTGTCGAAGAATATTTTTGTTGTTGCTGTTTTGCAGTTTGGTGTATATGATACAGTAGCCCACTTTAGCATTGGCTCACAGGCCTCTGCCAATATCTTGAAAGAACTGGATATGGTGCCATTTTTGTAAGGGCATACTTTGAGGTCGGGATGAAGAAAACCAACAAAGAGTGAATTGTGAAAGCCAATCATGAGAACAAAGCTGAAACGAAAAGAAACGAAGAAAACTTGTTTGTGGACTAAAAAAAAAGACAAAATAAAAGACCAGGAAGGAACCACCTAAAAGGCAGGGTCATTTTAAAAAGTAACAATGTGATTTACAGCTTTATATTAGCTTCCACTGCAGAAATAACTTAAACCGTAAACTTCAAAGCTGTTTTTCTCAATTCGTAAAAATGGACTGATAGCTCAATTTGCATGCATGATATCTCAAAAAATATGAAAGGTATCCTGATCAAATTTTTAAAGTTGCTAGTACATATTATGCTCCAGGGAATAAACTAGAATAATTAAGTTCTGCTGCATTTTGAAGGAGTTATCACTGTTTCAGTGATGCATGTTTCCACATTTTTGTGGTTTGGTTAGATAAATCCTGATAATAGTTGTTCTATATGCAGTAAGGCAATGATTCTAGTTCATTCCCTAGACACTATTGTAACTAACAAAATAAAAGTTATTTTAGACTTTTATAATTTATTCTCACCTAGTTATCATGTTTGAAAATTGATCCTTTTTTCCCTTTGGGCATGGCATATATTAGTTACTATGGTAACAGTTAAAGAAGTGTGTTCTCTTGGTTGGGTGACCACACTCAACAACAATGTCAAGTTAAATTTTTGTATAAGACCACCTTAATGTAATATGTTGATTGATAAAAAAATGAAAAAGTTTGAATATTCGATTACAGGTAACAATGTAGTACCACAAAATATGATAGGAGAGTTTTTTTTGGGACACCCTGTATACATTTACTGCGTTTTTTATGTTACGCTGAGTGTATATCCACACCAGGTAAGCTGAAAATTTTGCCTGACCATGGTGGGGATCAAACCTGCGACCTTTGGGATACTAGTCCAATGCTGTGCCAACTGAGCTACAAGGCCAAGTCATAGTAACGCTAATTTTTTATTGCAGTACTCTTTACTGTAACAATTATTCGCCGAAGGGGTGGTGATTATTGGGGAATAATCCCTGATAATCACCAAGCCTGCATGAGGCGAATAATTGTTGAATATTGATTCGATTACAATTACGACTACTTTTCGGACCAAGTATCGAAGTATCAATTACTCACACGATTACTTATTGCTATGTTGGTAATTAGCTACAAACACTTTTATACGATTAAGAACAATTCAATCACTTTGCTTTGTTTACAGAAGCTGTATTCTTGAAATAATTCCACACCACACTTTGTAAAAAAAGCTGCAGATCTGCTGTAGCTGCTTTTTAGTGCAAAGTTGCTTTGCACTATTGTTATGAGGTTAAATTCAATTCAGTGACCGATCAATGGATCGATGCATCAATCTATGGATCGATCTATAGAGTAAACAATCCGGGGGGAGCTTGCTAATGATGTTTTATCACATTTTCTATAGAGCTTCGCGATGTTCGGCCAACTAATCGTTCATAGCTGTTTGTAGATTATAACAATCTATATTTATACTCATGATGGTACATGTTCTTACTTGTTTATCCGACATTTAGAGAAGTTATAACCAAATTACTGTTGCATTTCAAGCACTTGTTTATATTATATGTATGCCCCCTGCAACATAAATACACGTGCATAATACTCGTGCTCTCATATGTTATTATTTTACAATGGCGGACATGGACGAGCGGTGACAATTGAGCGGCGGTGTGGAATGCTGAAATCGTGTATACTAGAGTGTATTACATCTGAGGTTGATAGTATTATAGCACAGTGGTTTATGTATGAAAGATACAGAGCGATGTATACATGAATAAGTGCCAGTGGATAGTTTTGGTATAAAATTATAAGTCAGCAGCTGATTTATATCAGCTAGCTTAATATTCTTGTATTATTATATCGCGATAAAAGCGATATAACCCGCAGAAAGGAGGGACCGCTCGCAGTCTATATCAGCTAGCTTATTCTTGTATTATTATATCGCGATAGAGCTAGGTTTACATTGCCCAATAAGTAGTAAATAATAAAATAAAATTGAAATTTTGCCAGTCCAGAGGCAACATGCCGAGGTCGAGACTCGAGCGTATTTATAGTGTAGCGACGCCGGCGAGACCCAGTGTCCCAGTGAACTATAAATGTCTGTATTAATGATCTATATAAGTATATTATTTTTAATAGCAGAAATTTTTGTACTCAGTGTAATCTGTAGTCAGTAATGTCAGTTCGTATTGTTTCCGAGAGGTTTTATATAATCTGACATTCCAAGTTTTTGTCAAACTATTGGTATTTCTCACTTATGCAGTTATGGCATTTCATTGATAAACCGTAAAATATTATATTTAATAGTGAGGAATATTTAGATGTCGGCCATAGCTCTGCTTGCATATTATTACTGCATGTAAAGTCATTAGACAGCAACTTCTGGGGCACGTGGCCAGCACACAATCGACTTGAACCCGTCCGTCATTTCTAAATCTGGAAATGATCTCGAATGTCAGGTGACAACAATTTCTTGCAAGCTGTTCATTTTTGTTTCATTTCGATTTTTGAAGGCGGTTTATTTTGTTTTGTATTACACCCGTTTTCAAAATTTAATACGCGACCAAGCCACCAAGGACGAAAATGCTAGAGATGACATGTCAGTTTCATGTCATTCGGTCACAAAGTTTAAACTTTTGTTTGAGTTTTGTGGTTCCTTGTCGATGTATATGCTTTGTATGTTTTATATAAACAGGCTTACAGTGATTTTCAAGATATTTTAGTGAGAATTATTGCAAAATTTAAGCACAAACAAAATCATAACATCATTGTTAAAGTCTAGCGTGCGTGTTTTATACGGAATTGTTTAAATTTTAGTCACGGTTAATAGTCACTCGCAATTTACTTGGTTTAGTATGTATATCTAAGTTACTCTAACTCATTCAAGTTTGTTCAGTTTTGGTATTAAATACGGTTTAAAATGTCTTTTTGACTGTTTGTTTACGTTTGCTATTTTTAGCAGTTTTTGTGACATAAAACTGACATTTGAAGCAAAGTATTTTTCAGGGAGGTCGCATAATGTTGAAAACGGGTGTAAATGTATAACAGAAAATAGGTAGAAAATTGAATTATTAAAAACAAAGAAAAAAGATCTGGACTAAAGCCACCATTCAAGGAATTAAGCCATGGAAAATTATCCATGCGAAAACAACAAAATTTACTGTCGTGGCTTGTAATATATAAAAAAAACAACTCCATGACAACTTCCTTATAGATGCATCAATCCTATTTCATATATTAATCATTATGCGAATCAACAAATCTTAATTATCATTTGTCATATCAACTTTGCACTATCCTTGGGATCTCTGAGTTCAGCCATATTGTTTCAATGTTTGTTCTTCTATTTTCCCGCCATTTTCGTCTTATACCGCGCGAATACAAAATAAAGACTGGGACCATTAAAGTCTTAATTCTGACGAAATGGAGAGAACAGACAAATACACAGCTAAAACACTTACAAAATGTGCAGATTTTCGTTTTAAATATTGCTGAAAAGTAACCCTTATAGTAAATTCAGCGAGTAATCGAAAATATGTCGATACCACTCTGGTATCGATTACTCCCAGTAGTAGCCTGGTATCAAGCGGTATCCATTACTCAGTAATCGGTAGTCGCCCATCACTAGTTTTTTGGGACGAATTTTTTTTAATTCCACTTATTTCTTTATCAGTAACTCCCACAAAGCGGCTAGCTGCCATTTTGCACATTTAGGTTCACCTACAGGTAAATATAACAGTTTGATACGTCAAATGTGACCAATCAACTGGTAGAATGCAGGATTTGTTATATTCACTTGTGCAAAAATACTAAATATATCTGTCACATATCTGTTGCAGTACTGCAGCATAACTGCAACAAGGTCTACAATATCTGAAAAATATCTGCATAAAAGTTGCAGATATTTTGCAGATATGTTGATTATCTGTCAACATATCTGCAAACTATCTGCATAAAAGTTGCAGATATGCCAATTGTCTGTCAAAATATCTGCAGAATATCTGCATAAAAATTGCAGATATATGTATATACAGTCGAACCTCTATTAAGCGGCCGCCATTAAGCGGCCACCCTCTATTAAACGGACACATATCGAAGTCCCGAAATTTTTGTAATACAAATACTATAAACTATCCCTGTATTAAACGGCCACCTCTATTAAGC